TCTGAACAAGATTGCTGGCCGCCCATCAAGTCTTCTTCAACGCGAATATCAGAGATCCATTCTGTTTCCATACACGCAATAAAAGTTGAAAGCCACGGGTTCGTATTCTGAGGCATTCTCGCCGTCTTCCTCCTCATCCTCCACTTCCCCCCCTCCTCCCTCCTGCTGCTCCTCCTCCTACTCCTTCTTTGCCTCCTGCTGCATCCTCCCTGCCTTCCTTCCCAATCCTCCTCATCCCCTCCCTTCCTCCTCCTCCTCCTCCTCCTCCTCCTCCTCCTCATCGTCATACTTATCCTCATCCTCCTACTCCTCCTCGCTCCCCTCCGACCTCCCTCCTCCTTTTCCACCTTCATGGCGAGAGATCACTTCCCCCGCCCGAAGTGGCGGCGCCGACTAGGGTACCGCTGGGCAGAGTGGACGATTGTCGGACAACCCATGGCCAGGGGCATCCTCACACAAACGGCGCCCCCCATACGTTTTCTAGAGTTCCATGCCTCCCCCACGAGTGGACCCAGGTTAGTTTCGTGGACTCCCCCCCCGCACCCATGGAGGAGCGGCGGACACAACGCGCACAAGGAGAAGCAGGAGAACACAATCACGCTCTGTGCAGTGAAATCTGGAAGGAACGCGACCGAAACGCGTGAGGGTGCTGGAGAAGCGCCTGGCAAGGGGAGGGAGGAGGAGGAGGAGGAGGAGGAGGAGGAGGAGGAGGGGAGAGGAGGAGGAGGAGGGGAGGAGGAGGGGAGGGGAGGAGGAGGAGGAGGAGGAGGAGGAGGAGGGTAGGAAGGAGGAGGAGAGGAGGGGGAGGGGAGAGAGGAGGAGGAGGGGAGAGGAGGGAGAGGAGGAGAGGAGGAGGGGAGGAGGAGCGGAGGAGGAGGGAGGGGGAGGAGTGGGGGGCGGGCGCGCGCCGGTAACGAATCGGAGGGCCTCACTGCCGCAGCTGCCGATGACGGGATATCGCCCTGCGCCAGGGGGCCTCTCGGGGGCCTCTTGGGGTCCTGGTCTCGGCCTCCTGGGCCTACACCCTCCTCCTCCTCCACCTCCTCCTCCTCCTCCTCTCCTCCTCCTCCTCCTCCTCCTCCCCTCCTCCTCCTCCTCCTCCTCCCCCTCCTCCTCCTCCTCCACCTCCTCCTCCTCCTCCTCCTCCACCTCCTCCTCCTCCTCCCTTTGGGGGCGGGCTGGTCTCGGCCTCCCGGGGGCCCCTCTTGGGGCCCTCTTGTGTTCCACCCCGCGGCCGTGGGCAGCGGTGCTGCAGGCAACGCCGTGGTTTCACCGTCCGTTGCTTATGCCCCGTTGTCTTGCGCCAGCTGGCCGCTAGGACATTCCACCCTCGGTAAATCTCAAAAGGTAATGGCCTCGACATGGCTCACACGTTCGCTGTAAGCTCGAGGGTTCATACCACGACAGCGGCAACAAGGTCTGGCAAAGCTTTCGAAATGGCCGGCACAATTGCATGATCCGACAAGTACTTGTAGCCTTCGGGAGGACAATGAGGTTTGCAACGCTCGCAGAGTTTGCCACATTCTTGCATGGTTTTGTGCAAATCGACAACGGTGACATTCCTTTCCGCCATGATCGTGGTCGCAATCTCGTTGAGCTCGAGGACTCGTTTCTCAGATGGGCTTAGAGCACCAGGCACCGAGCGGCTACCGCCAGGCATGGTCGTCAAGAAATAAAGTACAGTGGCTGGTTGCCTTCGCTGCAGTAAGGGTACCTTGGCAGCGGCCAGAATCGTGTCTGCAATTTCGCTCAACCCGTTCTGATACGTGATATTGTCGTCTGCGCCATCGTGAAGACCAAAGTTGAAAGTGATGACATCCCATGCTGGCAAGACATGGCGTGGAGTACGGAGGAAATACTTTGTGCATAGTTGCCCGTATTGAACGCCGTCCGCGTTTCCTCCGCCAGCGTTATCAGGACCATGCTGCACATTTGCCTTGCCGACCAGAGAAGCCCGCACGTTCATGATGTACCCAGCACTAACGCTGTCTCCAATGATCAAAACATTTGGCATAGCAGAGCTGATTGTAGATGGTCCTGGCCCACAGCAGCACCCGCCTGAAACTTTACCGACACCTGCACAACCAGGGTAAGATGTTGAGTTCGGAGGGGCGCAACCATACCCACCAGGCACCTTGTAGGCATCAGGGCTCTTTCCGATGCAGCACGTATCTCCTTCTGGACATTGTGTGCAACCGGACGCACCGCATTTCTGCAAAGGTGGTCCTAAAGAAGAAGTGCCCGTGTTGGTCGCATGACGCGATGGACATGCGGCTATCCCGAGCACATGAATCCGATTATTGCTCCCACAACGTTCGGTTGCATCACCAGTACATGGTTCTGCACGTGTGCACTGTGGATTCTTATCCTGGGGGATCGTGTAAGGACCAAAGCCGTGGTCGCAATAGCAATTGCCTCCGTTCTCCAAGCCAGCAAGAGATCCAGCTCCGAACCCAGCTAAGCAACACAAATATATGCAACGCTCTTGACTCATATTATTATCATTGGAAGCAGCGAGATACTTTAAAACACGTCGTTCTCCATCTGGCGTTTGGTACGGGTCGACGAAGCAGCCAATCGCCGAGGGCGATACACACTGATTGCTACAATCGGTAACATGTGGCCACGTTGCAGCTAACATGGAGAGCGCACGCATCTTCCAGGAAGATGTTCTCCAAGTGGCCTTGAGCCAACTGGTTTGAGTCATGATGATGTTCTCCGTCAGATTTCGCCCTTCTGCTAGGGTGCGGCCAAGAACCCTTGGTTTTCCGCAAAAGCTTCCTACGAGGCGTGCAACACTGTCTTGAGCCAAAATGGCTACGGACCATGGTTTCAGCGCCCTTGGCCGCGGCAAGTTCCCCGACACCGCGTGAACCGCGCAGCCTTTGGGCGATCTTAGCGCTCGGAGTTTCCTAGGGATTCGGATCTATTGTCGGACGAATCTCGCGATGTGGAAAGCGTCTAGAAACATCGATGTGCATTGCTTTGGAAAGGCTGTCGGGAACATGGACATCGAGGTTCCCGGAAGGCACTCTAGGAACATGGTCTAGGACGTGGACGCGATGGCTTCGAGAGGCTCTGGACCCTCGGGTCGGCTAAACGCAAGAGGATCCCGGGCAAGGGTGGCCTCCAGTGTGCGGCTTCAGTGGGCTCCCCCAGCCCCACCAAAGCGGCACGCGTGCTCGAATCTGGCCCGCCTGCGCCCGCCTGAAGCCGCGCACCAGAGGTCACTCCAGCGAAGGATCACTCTTACGCGTGCGGTCGATCGATCAGGGGCGTCTTAGGGCTACTCGACGGCGTCTCGGGGGCTAGGGGGCCTCGTGAGGGCTGGCTGGCGGTCTCGGGCTTTTTCGAACCTCTGTTGAGGCTCTCCAGGTGGCTTCTTGGGCGTTTTGGGCGGCCTCCTGGACCGTCTTCGGGCCCTCTTGGGCGTTCTGGGGGTCCTCTGGAGGGACTCGTGAGCTGCTTTCGAGCGATGTCGAAGGCCTCTTAGGCCGTCTGCGGCCATCGGGCATCGGCCAAACCGCGTGTCGTCGAAAGGCTCTCGGGGCTTCCTCGACGCCATTGTTGCTGCCCTTGGTCCACTTTCTGGACTGGTGACCTGTCTGTGGGGCTCTCCTCCTCCTTCTCCTCCTCCTCCTCCTCCTCCTGTCTCCCTACCTCCAGCTTTCCCAACTTTCTTCGATTTCCCCGCTGTCCTGGCTTTCCGAGCTTTCTTCGCTTTCCCCGCTTTCCAAGCTTTCCCAGCTTTCCTAGCTTCCCCAACTTTTCAAACTTTCCCTGCTTTCCAGCTCTGTTAGCCTTCCAAGCTGTCCCACTTTCCAACATTCCTGCTTTCTCGCTTTCTCGGCTTTCCCATCTTTCCCAACGTTCACTGCTTTCTCAACTTTCCCACCTTCCCCGCTTTCCCGCTTCCCAGCTTTCGAAATTTCCAAACTTTCCCCGAGTTTCCCGCTTTCCTCCGCTTTCCCACCTTACCCCGCTTTCCCAACTTTCACGCTTTCCCAACCTTCCCGGCTTTCCAAGCTTTCCCCGCATTCACACTTTCCCACCCTGCCCTGCTCTCCAACTTTCACTGCTTTCCCCGCTGTCCCCCGCCTTCCGCGCTTGCCAGCTTTCCAGATTTCCAGGTTGTCCAGCTTTCCCGGCTTTCAGCTTTCCTCAGCTTCTCTTTCCCAGCCTTGTTCGCTTTCTCAGCGTTCCCCAGCTTTCACCCAGCTCCCCCAAGAGGCCCAAGGGGACCCCAAGACGCCGCCAAGGAGCCCCAAGAGACCCCCCAGAGGCCCCCAAGAGGCCCCTAGGAGGCCCCAAAGAAGCCCCCAAGAGGCTTCAAAGAGGCCCCATAGAACGGTCGAGGGCCGGCGGAATGAGCGAAGCGATTCAATAAAAAACGCTCTCTTTTCGATAATCCCCAGAACGTGCGTTGGCCCCCGCGTGTGTTTGCCCGTCGAGGCCCTTCGGTGCGACGCAGGCGATGCAGTTACTGCTCTGCTGGCTGGGCTGAAGTGGGGGTAAGCACACACACACACATTGGCCCAACACCGAAGGACAGGAGACCATCGAAGGACAGGAAGCAACCCTGAGGAAGTAAAGGAACTAACACCTGAAGGAAAGGAAGGAACCCTGAGGAAGTCAAGGAAGTAACACCTGAAGGAAAGGAAGTGTCACCTGAGGAAGTCAAGGAAGTGACACCCGAAGGAAAGGAAGTAACACCTGAGGACCACCGATCCTCGCCACCGCAGGAAACTGAAGGGGCCCCAGGACACACAAACAAATACACACAAATAGAACGATTCCCCATATATATTCCCATATTGTCTGGGTTTCTGTCTTCCCCCCCACACTTCCCATATTTTCCCCATATCTCCTGGGGGATCGACGATGAATTGTGTCTGTGTGTTTCTTCCCCTCCTGCGAAACGCACAACACCGCACCGCCCCCGACGCCGGTGCCCGCACGCGGGGCGAAGGGCGGCGCGGGCGGCGCGGGCGGACGCCGGCCTCGCCCCGCCGCCGCCGAGGCCCGCGCGGCGCCCGCGCCGGCGCCGGAGCCCGCGGCGAGCCGTGCCTGGGAGGGAAGAGGGGCATCAATGAAGGGGCCCGATGGTCCAGCATCGTCATCGATGGTTCTCGCCGAGAAAAAATGCACACGTCCGAGCGATGCCGGGCCCCCCAGGGAGAGAAGAGGAGGCCCGAGGACGGCCCGCCACACGGGCACAATCTCGTGGCCCTCGCCGAGCCACGGGCTCCCCCCGGGGGCAGGACCGGTCAGCATCAGATCGATGGAATCGGACGGGATCGAGACGAGCCTCGAAGCTTTGAAGGGGCCCACAGACACACAAGTAAATACACGCAAATAAAACAGATTCCCCATAGTTTCCCATATGTTCTGGGTTTTTGTCTTCCCCCCCACTTCCCATATTTTCCCATATTTTCTGGGGAATCGACGATTCATTGTGTCTGTGTGTTTCTTTCCCCCCTGAATCTAGTCGGGCATGTGCGAAAAAAACGGGGGCGGCGGCGGCGGCGGACGACGGCAGTGTCGTGAAGACGTGCTCAACTCTGAGAAAAACTCTGTTTTGAGGAGCCTGGGGCCTGTACAGAAGCGAGGGCCCGGGTCAACTCGCAGAGTAAGAATGGAAAGAGAGCTGGCCAGTCTGGTGTGCCACCCGTCTGTGTCGACGTGCTTTGGCCTCAGCTCTATAGGCAGAGTTTGGGCGAAACAATCTAATTCCCCGAAAATAGCATGCTCATAAGCAGCAGCTCCGGGAAATGACAGACGTGACTCGACATTGTAGTCGACGAAGGCAAGAGGTACGGTCTGGAATTGGATTGGGGCAAGACTGTAATGCATGAGCGTGCACAATTATGGCGCGATTGTCTCCCATACTGGTGCCCCGCTGACAGCGGTGGAGCAAGCAATGTATCTTGGTGGCCTGTTGAACGTCAATGGCATAGTAAAGCCAGAAGTGACCAGGAGAATCGGTAAGGCCAAATCCGCCTTTCAGAAATTGTATCAATATTGGTCTCACGCCAACATCAGCCGCGCCAGACAAATATAAGTGTACAAAACGATCGTTTTGCCGAAGTTGTTGTACACTTTGGAAACGCTTTGGCTGCTGCAGGCAGACAAAGACCGTTCAGACAGCTTCCACACGCAATTTTTAATGACTAGTTCTAAGACTTCCAAGCGCATATGTTTCACGAGTGTCTGATAAAAAGGTTTGGGAGCGAGCGGGGGAACACCCACTGAGCTCCACACTTCGCTGGCGCCAAACGGCGCTACACAAGAAAATTGCAGCGTTGCCCGGAGCCGAACCTTTCAGACTTTTAACATGCCAGCCTGGCACCGACCTGCCCAGAAGATGGGCGCACTGGCGACGCAGGGGAAGGCCTAAACAGCAGTGAGCCCCTTGCGTGTATAGCCTTCTGCCTACACCTTCGCTTTAAGTGTGGCGCTTCTGTTACCCCTCTCCTCTCCTCCCCCTCCCCCCCGCGTGGCGCCGATACGTTTGCTGGTGAACTCGTATCGTTCTCACTGCCTGCATTTCTCTGCCCAGTCCGAGCCTGGGGCTATTGCTGGTGTTTCCGGTCACACGCATCACTATTTATTTTGCCAATGCGTCGTCTGTGCGCCAGGCTTGACTGACTGACAAAAAACAAGAAATAGGCAAACATAGTCAAAAAAAACGTCCCCTGACTATTTTCGGAATATTTTTGAGCATGTCCCCTGTAGAGGGACAAGCCCGACTTAAGACAAGCAGGATCCGTCAGCATGGAATCGGGAGGTCGGACCGAGTCTGAATTGGGGATGGGCAGAGCTCCCTTTAGTAAAGCGTGGTTCAATGAAAACGACCTCGGGCCCAAACCTGGCGGGCGTAAGCCTGGAAAATGACGGCCGCGGCGCCCTCTCGAGAAAAGAAATCGGACAATTCACTAATCGACGTGTCAGGGTGGGGGTTCTGCCCAACTCGGACAGAAGGTGCGTCGGACCCCCCCCCCCTTGGGTCATTGAAAAAACCCGGCGGGCGGTTTCTCGCTGTGTTCGACCTCTGGGGCTGAGTCGGGCATGCCCCATATACAGGAGGACTATTCAAGAATAGCTCAAAGATAATAGGGTGACGATTTCATGTGTCTTCGCTATTGTTAGTTTTGTTGACAACTGCTTGAGTATGTCTTATTCTTATCCCAAAATCCTCCTGTCAGAGGACATGCCCGACCTGACTCTGGGGGCCCTTGCCAGACCTCGAGCCGTCCAAAAAACAGCTCGGAAGGACAAAACTGGGACCTGGGGACTGGTCGAGAACTTCGGGGTCGACGTTGTGAACAAAGCATGACGTCGGTTGGCGGTGAGCGAGGGGGGAAGCGAGAAGGAGAAGGCCTTCTCAGAAGGCGGCGGGGAATCTCAGAAGGCCCCCGGCCTTCTGAGAGGTCTTCGTGTCTTCAAGGGAGGCTCAAGCAGATTCTCGGAAGGCCAGGCGACTTCCGAGCCTTCTGAGAAGACCTTACTCCAGATTTCGTAATAAAGGGAGAGGGGTCTCATTTCGGGGGGGGGTCTCTTCCAGGCTATCTTGGAGGGCCTGGGGGGTCTGGGACCGATGTTTTGGAGGGTTCTCCCACGGGGGAGGTCTGAAATGGCTTGTCTTGGAGGGTCCAGACCCCCTCCCTTTTATTACGAAATCTGTAGTATCCTTCTCGCTTCCCCCCTCGCTCGCCGCCGAGTCGGGGGTCTGGGTCGGATCGGGCGGCACGGAGCCGAGGTCGAATGGGATCGGCTGCGCCGGGCTGCGCAACAGCGCCGTGCGAGCATCGGGCCGCATCGGATCGCCAGAATTAAAGGGGCAAATGAATACACACAAATAAACAGATTCACCATATTTTCCCATATTTTCTGGGTTGCTATCTTCCCCCCCACTTCCCAGATTTTCCCATATTTTATTGGGAATCGACGATTCATTGTGTCTGTGTGTTTTTTCCCTCCTGAAGAATATACACTCGGATCGGATCGAGCTGGCCGGAGCCGATCTCGGATCGGAGCGATCGGATCGAAATGGACCCTGAAGAAGCGGCATACGGTCCACCCGCAGACCCCCCCCTCGCGCCGCGAAAAAAAAGACACAACGAATCGTCTTTGGTGTGTGGTTCTGTCCTCGGCCTCCTGGGGCCCTCGCCGGACTCGAGGACCGTCACAGACCTGCGCGGGATGAAAGGCGGGTCCAGGGGAAGGGGTCGAGACCTCCAGAGGTCCACGCTGTGAAAAGTCATGGCGTCGGGATCTGGATCGGAAACGTTTGCTTCGCGAGTCGCGGCGGCGGCCTCGGCGACACGCTATGTCCTGCGAGCGGATAGCCTGTCGCTCCGCTCTCCGGGGCGGGAGGCTGGGAACGGCTCGGGGCGTTGACGCTTGGGGACTGGGAAATGGTCAGCGTATCGCGCCGAGGCGCGGTGGGCCAGAACTGGCGGCGCGACACGCAAAGCCAAAAATCCCAACCGTAAACGTAAACTGTTGGAGGCTCGCACGGACCTCTTGGATCGGCGCTGGACCCCCCTCCATGGCTCGCGGAGCGAGCCAAGGAAGGCGCCGGAGGCGCCGCCGAGGGGGGCCCAGGTGCCGATCCGAGCAATCCGCGCGGAGATCCGAAAGCTTATGTTTATCAGAAGGCATAAGATCCACTCTAATAATAAGCACCCCCTACCGTACGTTTATGCAGCTTTTCTCTCTTCGACTGCCTGCTCCTTCTCGTGCCAGTGCAGCTCGTAGGCGGCCTGCGGGCGCGCGCGCGGCACGGGGGCGCCGAAGAGACGGCTGCTCAGGACAGCTCCTCCTCCTCCTCCTCCTCCTCCTACTCCTCCTCCTTCTCCTCTCCTCTCTCCTCCTCCTCCTCCTCCTCCTCCTCCTCCCTCCAAATCATTCCTCCCCCTCCTGCTCCTGCTCTCTGCTCCTCTCTCCTCCTCCTCCCTCCTTCTCCTCCTCCTCCTCCTCCGCCTCCTCTTCCTCCACTCTTCCTCCTATCCGCCTCCTCCTCCACCCCTTATCCTTATAGGTAACTCCTCCCTGTCGGAACCCGAGGCCGGTCAAAAGGGCGGACTGGGCGTTTCGATTGAGACGCCCTCACAATCCATGGTCCTGAAGATTGAAACTTGCAAGGGCTTCACGGATGGAGGGCGGTTCGCTTTCAAAACGTGGCTCTCGCCTCAGCGCCACGCGCATTCGTTTTAAACGTTTGTAATTGCTTCACGGATGGAGGGCGGCTCGTTTTTTAACGTGGCTCTCGCCTCAGCGCCGCGCACAGTCGTTTTAAACGCTTGTAAGAGCTTTACGGATGGAAGGCGGCTCCCGTTCAAGATGTGGCTCTCGCCTTAGTGCCGCGCACATTCGTCTTCAGAATTTCTATCAATTTCAAGGACTCTCGTGGTTAACGTTCCAGAAATGGGGCTTGGGAACGATGTCGGAGTGTCAGGGCGCAGCAGTCACGTTGATTCCTGGTGCTCAAGTTCCAAGAATGGCGTTCTGGCACGATTCAGGACCGTGAAGACGCTACGAAAACGGTGATTCGCGGCGTTGAAGGCCCAGGAATGATGTCCTGGCACATTTCGGGATTGTCAACTGGCTGTCTCCCAACGGGGCATTTCCCTCAGTGACTATGAATCCGTGTGGAAGCCCATGAAGAGGGAACTTGGGGGAAGGGTTTATTGCAGTATCGTTGATGGGGGTTGGGTTTACAGTGGTCCTCTACCTCCTCCTCTTCCCCCCTTCCTCCATCCCTGTTCCTTATAAACGACTCCCCTCCATCGCACACCCAGACGTGTCCGCAGAGCGGGCCAGGCGATTCGCCTAAAACTTTCTCGCCACTTCGGACCCTGAAGACTACCATTCGCAACAACGTCACGGATGGAGGGCGGGTTGTCTGTACAAGGCTGCTCGTTCTTGCCTTAACGCCGATCACAATTTCCTCATACACTTGCAACAGTTTTCCGGTTGGAGGGAGGGTAGTTTTCAAAACGTGGCACTCGACTTGGCGCCGCGCACATTCGTCCTGAAAAATCGCAACAGCTTCACGGAAGGCGGGCTAGTGGTCTTCAAAATGTGGCTCTCGCTGTGACGCGTACATTCGTCTTGAAAGGTTGCAGCAGCTTCACGGATTGAGGCGGCGGTCTTCGAAAGGTAGCTCTCGCCTCAGCGCCGCGCGCATTCGTACTGAAAGTTTGCAACAGCTTCACGGATGGAGAGCGGGTGTTCGAAACGCGGCAGAGGAGGAGGAGGAGGAGGAGGAGGAGGAGGAGGAGAAAGAGGAGGAGGAGGAGGAGGAGGAGGAGGAGGAGAGTCCCCAGAGGCCAGAGTGTTGGCGCGGGGGGAGGGTTCGGGCGGGGGCCCAGTGCCCGCCAGTGCGGTCCCCCCGAGGAGCGCCCAGGCGAGCGGCGCGGAGGAGGAGCTCCCCAGGCGCGCTGGTGGCGCAGGTCGGGGAGGTCCGCGCAAGGCGGTGCCCGCCGCCCCGCGCGCCCGCGAGGGGTCGGGCGGAGAGCTGCCACGGGCGACGCAGGGGCGCCTGTCCTCCTCCTCCTCCTCCTCCTCCTACTCCTCCTCCTCCTCCTCCTCCTCCTCCTCCTCCTCCTCCTCCTCCTCCTCCTCCTCCTCCCCTCCCTTCCTCCTCGGTCGGCTGGTCGGCGGGTCGGTCCAACTCCAGGCCGTGGGCGACACGGTGGCGCCTCCCCGACCCGCGGGCGGGCGCGCTTCCCTGGCCCGGGCGTTGGCCGTGCTGGGTTTGGCCGCCCCGCGAGCCCGCGAGGGGGGCGGGCGGAAGCCTGCCGCGGGCGACGAGGTGGCGCCTCCCCGATCCGCGGGCGGGCGTGCTTCCCTGGCCAGGTTGTTGGCCGTGCTGGGTCTCGTGAAGTGTATCTGGGGACGTCCATCCCGCCCCATTCGTTCCACTCGGCGGAACTGCCGTCGCACGAAGGAACGTCAGCTACGGCAGACTTGGTCCAGCGATTCGGGTATGTTGCGGGGGTCTCTGGGGCCCCATCGCTAAACGGCTCCCCTCAATTACTTGGGGTCCCGGCTATATCCGATCGGCGCCCTCCTGGCCAGCGGGACGGCGCGGACACCGTTCTGCGGGCATCTGCCAAAAGATGTCACCGCGACCTCGGCAGAACTGCAGTGGCCGCTCTGCGGTTCCTGGCCGCGCGCCACCGGCCCTCTTCCCCGGCAGACCTCCGGCGCCCCTCGCAGAGATCGGGGGCGGCAGGCCCGTCACCTCTCTTTTCGCTGTTTTCTTACTATAATATTTTCTACCCCTTCATATTCCTTACGAAAATCCTTACTTTTTGCTGCATTTATCCTTTTCACCCATCCTCCTCTCTCACCCCTCCCACATCCTACTCCCTCCCCCCTCTACTTACACATCATTTCATTAATTTCACTTTTCCTTACCTCCATCCATCTTTCCTCTTTCTTCTTCTTCTTCCCCTTTTTCTCTTATTCACTCTCTCTTTCTTTATCTCCCAATTTTCCACTACCAACCCCCCCTTCTCCCCCACCTCCAGGCTTTGCCCCCCCCCCCCCCCCACCCCCCCACCCACCCTCTGGAGGTTCGAGGAGGGCGGTTCTGGAAGGTCTTCGGACGACTTGGACCTCTGTTGGCACTCGTTGGGCCTCCGAGGGCCTCTGCATCGGGGGCGTCCAAGAGGGGGGCGTTCAAAAGGGGGGTGCAAATCATGGCCGGCAGCATGTGCGCGGCCCAGGGGGGGGGGCCATGGACGTAATGAAATAATGAGAGGCGCCATGAAGTCTGGAGAAATATCATGGCCCACGCCATGTGATGTCGCCCCCCCAGTCATCACCCCCCTCTTTGTCGCCCCCGACTGCAGACGCCTGGGCATGCTAGGATCCGGGGCAGCAGCAAGCCTTACCATCGCCCTCGGATCCCTCCCAGGCACCATCCTGACCTGCCTTTCGAGCGGCAGCCCGTCGTGGCCACGGGAAGGAAGCAAGACGCGCTCTGCCTCCCTCCCATCCCCCGCCCCTCCTCGCTCCTCGCTCCTCGCTCCTCGAGCCTCCCTCCTCTCTCGCTCCTCCTCCTCTTTCTCCTCCTCCTGCTGCTCCTCCTTCTCCTGCTCCTCCTCCTCCTCCTCCTCCTGCTGCTCATCCTTCTCCTCCTCCTCGTTCTCCTCGTCCTCGTCCTCGTCCTCCTTCTCGTCCTCCTTGTCCTCGTTCTTTTTCTGCTTCGTATTATTCGTATTCTTCGTCTCCTCCTCCTCCTCGTCAAATCGGGTAGGAGTTAACCTGGGGCAATTAAGCGGGGGGGTAATCGGGAGTGCAGGAAAACTGAACTGCCACCCTTTTTATCGAAAAGGTGCAGACGTCCGACAACATGTCTTGCAGTCGGTGTTCTCTGAGCTGTGGACCCTTCCCTGGGGGTATTTTTCTGGTCCAGGGTACAGTAGTGATGGCACGGCCTCCCGACGCCGAGCTTGAGGAAAGCACATCAGGATTGAAACAGACAATCCTCCAGATGTCTACAGTATTCGGCCTGACCTGAGGAACGATACGTAAGGATCGAAGCCTTTGTTTTGGAAAGGTGGTCTACGAAGTCCGAAGAAACACCAAGGGGGCTCGCCGCCAAAAGGATAGCGGAGAACATGCAAACAAAAGGAACGACCGAACCCATTCTTGAAAGTAAGTGTTCCTCATTCAAGCTGGACCCTGTAGATGTCTATGTTCTGCACCTCTCGCCTGCGGTCGGGAACTTTTGCTTATCGCGTGTCGCGGCGGCAGCCCCGGCGACACGCTGTGCCCTGCGAGCGGATGGCGTGTCGCTCCGCTCGGCGGGGCGGGAGGTCGAGAAATGCTCGGGACGTTGACGATTGGGGACTGGGACATGGATGCCCTGTGCCGCGCCGAGGCGTGGTAGCAGAACTGGAAGCGCGGCACGTTAAGCCAAAGTTCCTGACCGTACTTCCAGACGTCCGACAGCGTCATTATTTTAATCGATGGCCCCACAGCTGTGGACTCCTTCCCTGGGGTGGTGCTTCTTTTCCAAGATATATGCGGGATGGCCTTGGGACGCGGAAGCGGCCTCCCCCAACGCCGAGATTAAGGGAAGCACGCCAAGATTGAAACAGATAACGCTTGAAACATCTCTGTTCTAACCCCCCCGTCTATCATCCACCTCCGCTACCTTCAAGCCAACTAAGAATAAAAAGTTCCCCAACGAAGCACCCTGTTAGCAGCAAAAGTGAAGGGGCGGGACAAGGGCGAGAGCTGCCGGAGCGGGGGTGTGGCCACGGCCATGCGCACGTACGTCTTACTGGGGATCGTGGCCGTCCGCACGCACAATGCGGCTGTCACTGTGAAGCGAGAGCATGGCAATTGAGGAGGCCCAGGCGAGCGCGCGTCGAAAGGACCCCCCCCAAGAGAAAAGCCGGGAGTGGTACGGCGCTCGCGCGGCCGCAGCCCCGCCGCGGGACAGTCCCCCCGAAGCGAGAGGACCCCGAAGACAGCAGCCTCGCGGAGAAGGGCAGCGGCGCAGCGGCGGCGAAGCGTCAAGGCAGCTGGAGGGATGGACCAGGAGCGGCGATGGAGGGGGGGCGGTTGGAGGGGAGGGGAAATGGGGGGTGGCAGAGGAGCAGAGCCGCGCGGTCTTGGACAGTGCCCAACTCGCGCCGCGAGCGAACTGAGCAGAAGGGCGGGGGCGAAGCGCTTCGCCGCCTGCTGTGGCGCGGCAAAGCGAAAAAAAGATGCAGCGTTACGCTGCGCCGGGCAACC